ACTTATTAACTGAGTGCCACACTCAAACCACACCCAACACCTTCAGTGGGGGGAGGTGGAAATTGGGGGAAATTGAGATTCATGCATATTTCATCATCTATTACAACATGTGCTCGTAATTCGTAAGAAAATCTATCAAACCAGTCCCAATAAGCTTTTATGATGAGTTTGTGTGCATACATATGTACTACATATGTGCGTTACATAAGCATGTGTAAATAATGGTATTCAGTAAAACCCAGCTTCTATCTAGGTACATATGTATTCACACAAACTCATCATAAAAGCTTATTGGGACTGGTTTGATAGATTTTCTTACGAATTAGGAGCAAATGTTGTAATAGATGATGAAATATGCATGAATCTCAATTTCCTCCAATTTCCACCTTCTCCCCCTGAAGGTGGTGGGTGTGGTTTGAGTGTGGCACTCAGTTAATAAGGTGTGGCAAATTTTGTGGTTGAAAAAACGTGAAAAAAACGAATAAAAAAACGGATAAAAAACTCACCACTTTTCGGACCACGCCCCCTTGCAGTTTTAAGAGGAAGGAGTTCTTTTGACCTTTCAAAAACTCCCCGTGCCCTTGTACAAGACATGTACGAAAGCCGAATTTGTAAAATATTTCCCAGTGCGGAGGTATAATTTTAAAACCACACTTTTATTGGATTTAACATGTAAAATGATAGGGACGACATTTGGTTTTCTATTTTTCCTGAAAAATTTATAGCGAACGGAACGGGAATTGATGTTATATTATAATGCAGCACGCCCCTTATAAGATTGCTTGGCGTGTTTATAAATATTTAGAGTAGTTTGTTAACGTTGCTAGGTATTTTTTTTGACGTTGCTAAGTAATTTTTTGACGTTGCTAAATAATGTTTTTAACGTTCCCAGGTAATTTTTCAACCATAACCATAACCATAACCGCAGGTATAACTATGACTAATTCTTGTAAGGAATTGCACTATCAATTATACATTTTAATTTTCAATAATTTATTATACTGTCACTATTAAACCAAAGGAATGATGTGAACAGTGCAAGTGATTCTAACCGAATTGCTTACTGGCACAAAGCTACAGAGAGAATTAGCTTTTAAGGCTCAACTACGTGGGAAAAATACGTTTTTCCTTATTCTAAAAATAGATAGAACATTCGAGAAGGAATTTGAAAAATCCGCTAATAATTCTCATCTCAAACTACATTCATAAAACTTCCATGAAAATGAATCATTAAATTAAATACCTGAAAATTTACAAATAAAATGACGTTCATACATACATATTACTTTCATGAAAATTATCAACTAAAAATAATCACTTCCATAAGCGTTAGTGTTAAGTCGCTGAGGATTATGCAAGTCAATGCAAGTTGCCCCATTGAGTAGACAAAGAAGGAAGCGGAACAACAACTGCATGGACTGTTGCATGAGACTGCATTTCCATGAAACTGAACTGCTATACACTCGAGTCATGCACCAAGTATAGCGTGTGCTGTGTAGCATAGACGAGAGATGCAGCACTCTATATAGATAGCGCATTTTAGAGGGGAACGATCCGGGGAGAGGCGGAGCGAGAGAGCAGGTGGCACGTCCTACTTCTCCCCCACGAGTGTGGCAAGCTTATATCATTCCATTATGTACATATGCATCGGATGGTGGTGGTGTCGCATTTTGTGGTACGCATACGCCGTCTAGCGGTCGAGATTTTAAACTTTTGTGAGGAAAACAAATGTCAACATGCTTGTTTTTTCCCATATTCTGAGACCAGCACAACTAGGTGGCGTATACGTACCTACTGATCAGAGAAAGGGGGCGGTAACATTAGGGCAGAATTGCCCTAAAGTGCAGCCACTTTTTTTAACAAGGAAAGAATACAACTGCCTGTCCCATACTGATCACTCTTCCATGCTGTGTAGGTGGCATGGTGATGGTGGTAAAGGTATGGCGTGCCCCAGGGAATTCCCCCGTTGCGCCATACCCCCTCAGCGCCAGGGGGTGTGGTCGGGGCAATATGAGATTCTTACAGAAATCGAACCTGTAGATGAAATAGAGTGAAACTCTGCTTAGCTACTTGGCCGCCCTACCCCATGGGAATTTAAGAGTTTTGCCATTAAGTGACTCGGGAAATAAAAATTTTTGCAATCACCCGTTCTCTGAAAATTTAGGATTTTTGCTATGTAGCCATCCTTGCGCCGTGCGAATTAAACTATTTAATTATTCACCCGTCCCCGCTGCTCGGAATTTAGGTATTATGCATCGCAGCCACTTCCACAGGGGGAAATTAAATTGTATCGCGCCCAGGAAAATTGAAATGTTGTATGAGTTGGCAAACCCTGACTAAAAACTAATTATTTAATGATGTAACATGGCAATGAACAGAGTCTCTACTGGGAATTTCATCGGTTAGGGCACACCCCCTGCTGATTCTAGCCCCCGTCCTTTGGACGGGCTATACTCTAGTGATTAATATTATGACTCGACGGAACAATAACTATAACTACCCAGTACGGCCAATTGTTATGACCAATTGGTTTCGCGTTAAACAAAAGTTACTGGCAGTTATTTTAGAAACTTGTGCTATTTTTTATTGAATTCCCCATGCAATTGTTTATAAGAAACCATACTCCGAAAACTTTTGTGACCCAAGGTACCAAAACGACAGACGGCTAGCAAAGTGTGTTGCAATTTTTCAGCGAAATTTTCGAGCGAGAAAAAAATCCGACATTTTCCAAATGCTCAGTAAAATCGGAATTCATCGCAAGGTGGTCAGCCGTACCATAAAAGGATATATTGACACTGACAGTGTCGATGACCAAAGAAACTGTGCAAGACAATAGTCAAAAAGGTAACCAGAATTCATAGAGGCGAGATAAAGCAGAATTCCTGCAAATTCATGTCGCACCAAGTGAAATATTCCCCTACAAATGAACGCTCAAAATAAAACTGCCCCAGGCCCCTAAACTCGACCTTGGACTTATGGCTTTAAAACACGACAAGAAAAACTGGCTAACTGAACGTCAAGTATAAAAGCGTCTCACTGGAAACAGGGCGCCGATTATCCGGTACGCGCTTGAAAGCTAGAAACGGATACTTTTAACAGATGATCAACACTTTATGATTAGAGCCAAATAAAAAAAGCAAAAGGCAGTGAATACACCCTATCAGTTGAGGCTATACATAAAAATTTCAAAAATGCTAGTCGGACCCACCATCCCATCTATGCGATGATTTGATTGGGCATAGGTCGGATTGAGCCAAACAAGTGAATTTTATTCGTCAAGGGGTGGGAATTTGTAGCAAAAATTATTTTTTGAAGTCCATGAGCCAATTTTGGAAACTCTTGGACCTCTACCTATTCAAAAATGGTGACTAGACATTCATGCAGGATCTTGGTCGTACTCATGAGACCGAAATAGTTCATGAGCAGTTGCAACTGCACAAAAAGTAACACTGCAGTGTTACTTTTTGTTCGGATTATGCTTGCATATCTAGTGGATAGTCTATGCACACTTAAAATAGCTTAAAAATTCTACAAATTATTGAAATTGAAATTTTGAAAAAATTGAAATTTGAACGGAAATGTAGAAATGCATGGTTAAATTATAATTGCAAAAGTATAACAGCACCGGTATAGAATACAAAAACAAGGTTTACAAAATCAGGTTGGCAATAATAAAATTCTTGTAGCTCCTAAAGTGGGAAGTAGACTCTCTTTACTACGCAATAAGCAATCATAGTCAAACTAAAGCTATTAAAAATTTCCAGTAAATATCGACGAATGATAACGTGTACTTCATTTTTATAATGGTTTATGTACATATCGTATTAAATTCAGCGGGTTCACAATAGCCCCGATGTCGGCAATCAGTCCTCGGGCCGTAAGAAACGCCGTACCAACTCACTTCCTTTGATGTCTATCGAAAGCTGTATAATTTTTTTTCTTCAAACTTACCATTCCAAATGTTAAATTCATTAAATTATTTAAAATACATAACCGAGCAAAATACTCCATACAGTTCAGCCTCAAATATTTTCGAAACAAAACCAATATATTTCCAAATGTTTCACAGTAACTTTGTCGAAAAACATTCGGCTTTTGATACACACCTAAAGCAATGCTGTGTGTGGTACGGTTAACACATTATTAACGATTGTATGATAATGGATAGCGGTAAAATCCTGTCGTCAAATGCGAGACAAAAGGTACGTAATTATTATTCCTAATGAGGGCATGAGTAGATATTTACATAAATACCAATATTTTAATACATTGTTGTTGACGTAAATTTTAAAAATGTGAGGTAACAAGCGGATTTTTTGCATGCTTAAGGTACGTCTGTGTCTGTTCCCTATCAAGGTTAGACAATGTATAAATCCGCTTCCAATTCTTAATGGGTGCAAACATAGATGCACGGTCACCAACGAGTGAATGAACCTTCTTACCATAATTTTACCATAATTTTACCATACCATAATTGTTTAGCGAGGTATATCAAAAAATCAAATAAACAATTAGGAATCACGCGGCACTTATATTTCAATTGAATGGTCCCCTTAAAAAATATCGGGGGCAAAGTTCAAATTACACTGCAGGGCGGACGTGTCAACTTTTCCCCCCGATATTTTTTAAGGGGACCATTCAATTGAAATATAAGTGCCGCGTGATTCCTAATTGTTTATTTGATTTTTTGATATACCTCGCTAAACAATTACGACTACGGTCTAGCTTGAAAAAAAGTTCCATTGTTAGGTTAGGTTAGATTCATGAATCAGGTTCGGTATATAGTCCAAACGCGCATCTATGATCATAAATAAACGAGTTCTCAAGGTTTCAATTACTGTACTCGTTTTGTTGATGCAAAAGGCGTTGATAATCATTACATGCATAACCGTGTTATGTGTATCTGGTTGATGAAATCTCTGAATTGGAATGAAAATACAGGTTTCATATCAACTCTTTCAATTCAAAGTGGCGACTAAAAACCAACCTTTGTTCGACATGTTTCAGTTACATTCTCACCACTGCGTCAACCAGACTATTAAGTTTTATCGTTAAATTGGAGAACATTTTTAAGAATTGAGAAATCTTCCAAAATGTTTCTGGTAAATGGATTTCCAGTGCGTGCGTTTCAAGTTTTTTGTCTCAGCTTTTCCTTCTACTTTTCAAGTGATTTTTAGATCTTTCTAGTTAGGTGGTTGAAATTTTGATTTTTTTCTTCCATGAGGAAACAGGATAACCTAACAGATACTCCGCATAAAACCGATAAGAAAGAATAAACTAAAATTCAAAATTTTCTCGTGGAACAATAAAATTTAAATTCTAACTATAAAACCTAAAAACTGTTGATCTTAAAAATCAACAAAAATTTACAATTTTCAAAACTCTATGAGATAAACAGGTTTCTAAATCGATATTTAGTAACACTCCCTGAAGTCAAAGAGTTGGAGGGGAGTACTATTTTTAATTTATTTTGAGTTGCTTAAACTATTCTTCTCTTTAATTAAGGTTACGAGTTTGTAGTAAGGCTCGGGATTTTTAATTTTCCACCTGTTTAGATAGTCAGCTTTTTGAAGTTATGGTATGATGTACATACTTCCATTTCATATTTTTGTGTAAATTTTGATTAACTGAAATCAGAGATACAATAGAAACCTAAACAGAGTGTTAGTTATGCTCAAATCTATCTACCGTTGTATTTACTCACACAGGTTCAAACATTATTTATCATGTTATCCATCCCACTGGTCTTATCGATACCAATAACTGATTCAAAATTGGGGGATGCTTCGTTCCCAGGATTTTCCAGTCTCGCCTCTTATCAAAATATGGGGACTAATCAAAACATAAAATTGATCGCAGCCACAAAAACACGAAAAGCTCGTCAGGGCAACTACCCTCTCATGATTTATGGTGGATGGTAAGAAAATATTTAAACATATTTAGAAACGTTTTATACTTTAAAAAAACACACTCTTAAAATAATTTTAAAAAGTAGATGAATTCACTCTAAATTCTAAATTAAGTGTAATATATCAAATCCGGAATAACGTTAACTCGATAAAGAGTAAAATTTGCTCAGAATTTCGTACACTCTTAATAATATTGTTACAAGATCATTTTTACGCAAAAACGATAACATTATTTTTTAAGATTGATTGATATTGTATTTTATTTGTGCAGCTACCCAACTTTTCAGGGTGCTGCTGGTCGTGGGTGGGGCTGGGGCTCACCCAGTTATCCTCCATACAACTCATTTGGAAACCAAAATAGAGCGCCACCGTTCCCCAACCCCGCCGTTTTTCTTGGTTCGTTCGCTTGTTACAGAAATCCACACGACCCGAGATGTTCCCAAAGGCCGAGTGGCCACGGATGATGTTTTTGGATTGTTGGGAAAAGAAATTGTGAACAGGCTTCCATGCTCACTCTCCTTTACAAAAATAAACTTGTTAAAGTTATATCTATCTAATTGCAAAATTATAATTTCAAATCTAACCAGATTGAATACATGAAACTACATGTACATATGTATTTATATAATTTTGGCTTTAGTAATATGAACACTTTTTAAAAACTTCATTATGATTTATTGTCAGGAACGGTTCCGGGTATTTCCATATTTAATTGAATTTTTCATACTTACAATGGTAGTGCAAATCATGTTCCCCTCAGATAATTTGCGAGTTATTCAGACTCCACCTCCTCCACATCTTGCTTAATTAGACTGTATTTCGCATAGAGTTGTACTCATGCCCGTGCCCTGGGCCTTTACGCCTTTATGGCATTCCCTACTTGCCGGGCAAATTGAATGTCGGGCATTTTGAATTTATGATTTTTTTGCGACTTTTTTGAAAATATAAAAATTCGCTGCCTAACAATTTTGAGTTCTCAATAAAAATTCGGTGTACAGTGTAAAGCGTGTAAAGTGTACATGCATATATTTAAAATTCAAAAACGAATTTTTCACACTTTCGTTTTCGATTTTTTTAGTCCCAAAGTAATTTGGAAAATTAGTGCATTCGAAAACTGCAAAACATTTAGTATATTTGGTTTCCTCCCTAAGCAAATAAATACACTTGGGGACAAAATTGAATAGATCGGGCGCATGCATAGAGTCATTATAAGAGATTTGGATACAAATTTGCTAGAATTTTAGGAATTATGCTGTATTTTGAGAAAAATTTATCTAGCCTTCGGAATATGTACTTTGCATGTGTTAAGTGTAGCACCTGTCCCTTCATTAAATGCGTTGTTGGAGGGAAAAAAATATTAGATGGACAAAATTGAGTAGATTTTTGAGAGTATTGATTACTACTTAATCAGGTAAGTCAATTTGACCACGATTCTGTTTTATCTCGGTGTACATGACACAGGGAAGTGAAGTGAGGGGATTCATTTGGGTGTGAGATCAAGAAATAATTTTGTAATACATCCAATATTCATGCATTAGGATGCCAAAGGCAAGGGTCGAGACCACCGCCGCGCAAAGGGTCCTCATTATCAAGGCATGGGAAGGAGACGAGGATGGGACGAAAACTCCTAAACAAATATCCGAATTTTTGAAAATTAATTATAAAACAGTTTGGAGCATCATAGAACGTTATAAGAAAACAAAAAGTACTGTCAACAAACCAGAAAGAAAATCCATTTTCACGAAGCGCGAGAATCGTTCAATTGTCAAACTTGTGAAAGTAAATCCAACATCTAGCGGTGTAGAAATGGCTAAGGTTGCTGAAATTGCTAATGGGAAGAAGAGCAGTCGTAGGAGAATCGGAAGGATCCTTAAAAGTGAGGGATACAACAACTTTAGAGCAAAGAAGAAGAGCTTCGTCTCCAAGAAAAATATTAAGAAGCGACTGGAGTTTGCAAAGGAGCACTTGTGGGATCACATTGAGAGAGAAATCAGGAAAACGTAATTATAAGATTAATATAATTTAATCTTAAAAGATCTTATAATTCACCTGGAAAAATTAAATAATGTGCCTGAAAAAAGTTCCATTCTGATAGAATAGATTATGTATTTGTACCTTTATTTATAAATAACACAATTACACTATTTCCATTAAATTCAAATTTTAATGTTCATTTAAACTAATTTATACCAAAATTACTAATAAAGGTACGCTAATAAAGCTCAAGGGTTCATACCCCTTCTATAAGAGTCAAATGCGACCCGACCAGCACTCGTTTTGGTTTCTAATTTTCCTACCATACAACAATTAATCAATAACTTGTTAAATAAAGTGCGGCAAAGCACGATACATAAGTAGCGCAATAATGCTGAGAATGCTGAGAATGCTAAGAATTAATTTGCTCAATTAATTAATTCATTGGTTCATTGATTCATTAATTAATTAATGATTAATTCATTAATTCATTAGAATTAATTAATTGATCACACTGCGGCCACACCCCCTGGCGCCGAGGGGGTGTGGTCCAAAAGTTTACGTGATCCTCCCCCTGGGTTCATGTGTATGACCCCAGGAGTCATGTGAATGACTCTGGTTTTGCACAAAAATTTTCACGATAATTCACTAGAAATGGAAAAATCAAATCCGACCGAGGGCTACCCATGTAGCGAGATCTTGGACATTTTGGACCCTGAGGATGACTGGGAGGCCGTGGAGAGGGAGCTCTTCATGTCCGAATTTTTGGAACATAATGAGGGCAAAGTGATCATGGCGACGCACAACGGGCCAGGAGCCTAAAAATGTGGCCATTAAGGCGGTATCTTGAATTGGCAAGTCACATACTTCATCGTGTTGTACAGGACCAACCTGTCCTCCATGCAAAATATGAAACCAAATGCTACACCCACTCAGGCGTACCAGTGGGGTAAACTTTTCATAATACATTACGAAGATAGGGCGAATACATTTTCTAAAAACTTCCTAAAACTTCGTGCATGGCGGACTCAAAACGAATGCCATTAAAGAGCCCATGGTGTGCTTGGTATACCCTGCTGCGACCATCTGCGACCATCAAGCTTTATTCCAACCACGCCCACTTTTAGTTAGTAAAATTTAAAAAAATCAAATTTAAGTTGAATTACTTTTACTCAGGTATGCTTTAAGTATACTCAGTCATTGGACTTTCTCAGCAAACTGTGGTGACAGGAAAGTATTTTGGGTGTAAAAACCATACACTCTGGTAGAGGAATCAAAATTAAAGGCATTTCTTGCTGAGAGGCTTAATGGCCGATCTTGTCGTGCTTAACAACATTGACAATTGAAATTCCGATTACTTTTCAAATTGTTGACCGGAGTTGTGACTGTATTGGAAACCTTAGGTCAATGCGCGAAATATACATTTCCAGATTTTTTTAATTCCACCACATCCCCTCAAAATTAAGGTCAAAAGGTCAAAGAAATTGTAAAATATAATTAATGAATACCATTTCCAAGACTAATAATCGAACTGTATGTCGAAAAAATGCCTCGACACCCTGGGCATGCAATTTTCAAATGGTCGCATCTCACACCCTCAGTGGGTGCGGCCCTCGGCGAATTTTCGATCTTAACCAAATCATGTCATGTCACATCATGTGATATATCATTTTTCTCATCTCGGCGAGCGGATTTAAAACCACAACCCCAGTGGGTGTGGCTCTAAGGAAATTGTCGATTTTAGCGAAAACAATATCATGCGATATATCAATTTTCTCCGTTGTACGAGTGGATATCCACAGAATTATTAGAATTTTGAAACCACGCCCCCAGTGGGTGTGGAAAAATTTAATCAGGTTAAATTACTGAGTTTTACCACTTAAGAGCAAAAGAATATCAGCATACCATCAGGTTCACACCCCCGACAATAGTTACATACATTAACAGATTAAAATCTTCAATTCCCACCTACGATGGGTGTAACCATCATGTGCGCTTTTCGCGTTAACCAACTTAAGTACATGGTGCGACACAAAACCTTTATCGTAGTGGAAAGGGACCCCGATGGTCACCTCCTATCTCAAGAAAACACACCCCCAGTGGGCGTGGCTTTCAACGCTATTGCAATTTTGGGAAAGTATGTCGTGTGGCATACATATGTAGCCAGTCACGTAATTTCTGAAAGTGACTTTTTCTTAATTTACATAATGCAATTCAAATTATTTTGTCGAAATCCCCTCGTCTAGTTACGAGAAATGAGGTATTTCGTGACATGACGTGGTTTAGTTAAAATCGAAAAGTCGCTGAGCACTGATTTTTTGGGATTTCGTCGAAACCCCCTTGTTTAGCTGGGAAAAATGATATAACACATGGCATGATTTTATTAAAATGGAAAATTTTCTGGGAACCGCACCCACTGGGGGTGCGGTTTCCAAGTTTGAGATATTCCGTCGATACACCCTTGTCGAGCTGAGAAAAATGATGTATCACATGATATGGTTTCGTTAAAATCGACAATTTCTTTAGAACCACACCCACTGGGGGTGTGGTTTATAAATTCTAATTATTCTGTGGAGGTCCCCTCGTCGAGCTTAGTAAAATGATATATCACATGACATGGTTTCGTTAAAACCGAAAAGTCGCCGAGGGCCAAACCCACTGGGGGTGTGGCATATGACCACTTAAAATTTCCTCATATAGTATATGGCTTAGGTTATTGCTGCACACCAAAATCTAATTTTTCTTTCTTCAAATTCGGCTGCTATATATTTTTGGCCAAAATTTATTAAATCTGGCCCACCGTCGCGACGGTTATTCTGTCTGCGGGGACGCTCTGCTTGTCTCTTCTCGTATATTTACAAACCTATCTGTAGGGACATATCTCCAGGTCTTTCATCTTTTTCTAGTCACGTCAGCCTTAGAGGAAAATTATGCGGTCAGTTGATTAAAATAGTTTGTGTGAATTTTTGGGGTCGACCATTTACATTTCCATAATTTTTCTGCCCACGGTGACAAGAAATTATTCAATTAAGAGAATTAATATAATTGCGTATTTGGGTTTAGTTTCCTTCTTATTTTTACAGATTTCGACATCCCAACAAATTATTAAAATTCGAGTAAAGCTTACATCAAAAAATTTACAACTTTGTCTCCACCTGGAACTGACAACGGTTAACTCAATAAATACCAGACTGGGAAGGATCCGTTTAAACAAAATTATCACAAAAAATCAATGCGCTTAAGGAGGAATGAGTGTATTTGATATATTTTAATATGTTTTAAACATATGCTTTAATATATTTAAATACATATATATTTTATATTTAATTTAATTTATTCTTAATATAGTATTTAATATACCTATACGCATGTACATATCGACAAGCATAAACATGAAACACGTAAAATTACAACTCATAATGAATTATGTTTAAACGCAACAAAAAAAATTGGATTTCAACCTAATTCCTTTCCCACCTGTTCTAAAACAGTTATAAATTTACTTAACAAATATTTACCATGAGAAAAGTTACTAATTATTAGTAGTTGCAATTAGTTCTAGCAATTAGTATGGAACCGTATAACTTTATATAGAATAAAGAATATCTAATTGAATCATATGATAACGACATAGTGGTCACTAAAAGTTATGGTTATCAGTTACAATAAGTTTATAGTGAACTTTCGGTGAAAAGTTTCTGCCCAGTGAATGCAGTAAATAATTTAGTATTACTGATATGTTTCTACAATGTCGAGATTTTGTGAGGATATAACTCAATGTAAATTCGACTTATTAATATTATTCAATTAGTGCTGAAGGAATATATGTAGATACCACACGACTGGTTTAACTTTTACCAAAATGAGTGAACAATTCAATCAACTATGTATGCCTCACCTCGTGCTACTACTGCTACACTAAAATCTAACGGAAAGCAATTCATTTTAAATGAATAAACATAAGTGAATAAACATGTGTTTATACTCATTAGCATCCAATTCCAATTCTCTGCAGGAATTGTAGGCCTGCAAAACAATTGTGCAGAAGTACATACATACAAAACCAAGGCATGAGAGTTTACAATGCAAAACTCTTCTGCAAAAAAATGCACAAATTTGGCAAATCCGACAGAAACGTGGACACAATTTTATGCAGAAAGTGGGGTCATTTTTTCACAAACCACTCATACGGAATAGAGTATACTTCCACGGAAATATACATATTCACATAAGTAATACTATACTCAAAATTTTTGGAAAACTTTTTAAAAACTCAATTTTACCCCTGATCGCGTTACCGAATTTTTATTGCGTGGACCTCCTGATTGTGCCACTACCTTAAAATAAATTACGTTGCAGTGCAATTTGCATATAAATTTGCACCTCAATTAGCAATGACAAATATCTCTGACCAATTTTATCTACACACACATGTTATTCTTCCTTGGAAACTATGGAGGCTAAAGCATCCTCCCAATTTTTGAGGGAGACGGAAATTTCTCCTCCATGAATTTTCATTCCGTCACCACCAGCACGACGTCGTTCTTTTTCATGTAATTCTAGCCCATTCCGATACGCGAGTTTGCACAGGGTTCCAATTTCCTTATCCACGCTCGTCTCCCGATGCAACAAGGCCGCCGTCCGGTTCGCCATGACGTACAGGATTTCCTCGCCGGGTTGCTCACCCCAGGCGGAACTGCAGGCCTCGATCAGTTTCCGCCTCTCCTTAATTGTGGGCAGGGTTGGGATATGGAGGGGTTTTGATAAACCCACCGGTCCTCCCAGACCGGGGGGAGCGGTCCAATTTTTATCTAAATTTATGTGGCCAACACGAGGTATCGGCCGGGTATTGCTTTCACCAGGTGAAGGATGAAGAGATCGACTATGTTTTTGGGGACGGAATCTGGAATTTAAATAATTTAAAAAACTGTAAGGCTTTTACATGAATTTATTAGAAATTGTGTTTGTGTTAGAAATTTGATTTTTGGAGTATTTTGAAACCCAACGGCATGAATGAATGTTTATGCAGA